GAACTCAGGATTACCAGTACTTGGCCATCTGAGTGGTTGAAGCTATTGCACCAAGATCCTGAGAGAGAAGAGCTTGGGGGAGAGGAAGGAGTGTTTTTCTCCTCCCCTTCCCCCCTTGACCAGAGGAAGATCTTTCAAACTTCAAAAGGTCCGAAAGATCTGGAATTCCCAATCCAGATCTGAGGACAAGCTAGACACACTGAAGAAATGCAACTTTAGGACTCTACATGGATCCTCAAAGAAAGCTGCCTCATTCTTAATGGAAACTTCATGAGGGGCCCATGAAGTAAAGAAACTGAGGAACTCAGCAACTGACAGTCCACTTGCCACATGTACTACAAGCTTGGGTCACTTTCGTCTGAATTCTATTTACTTGTTAGAGTGTGTGCCCCCAACTTGGGGGAATATTTTATACCAACTCTCACTATACCAACATAGTAGATACTCATTTCTAATAGCTAATTAAATCTGGTGAACTAATTGATGCCAACTGGTAATCATTAGGAAAAGCAGAGTAGAGGAGGGCTCATGGCTTATACTACTAGAAAAGTATCTTCCCCATCCCTTCAGAATCCTCTAGAATCTGAGGGAAAAAATAGGAACTGCTCTCTGGGGATGTGACTTGCCAGTATAAGACTTCAGGCTTGGGATGGTAGCCCCAGAACATGCGCTACACATTCTTCACAGAAAGAGAGCAAATCTAAATAATTGAAAGAGATTGATTACTCATGATTGAGCTTTGACAATATAACAAAAATAACAAAATTTTCTAAATTAATTTACTTATTCTGTGTCATGACAATCAAACTATCAGAGGGTTACCCTATAGAGCTAGAAAAAAATAATTAGAAAAGTTATCTGGAGGAATAGAAGATCAAGAATCTCAAGAGAAATAATTTTTTTTTAAAGTGAGAAGGAAGGGTGCTTAATAGCCTTAGATCTCAAACTATATTGTGAAGTAGTAATCATCAGATCCTTTTAGGACTAGTTAAAACTGAAGAATTGATTGGTGGGATTAATATTAGGAACATAAGACCTAGAAGGAAATGACTATACTAGGATACTGTTTGATAAACCTGGAGACCCCACCTATTGGAATAATGACTCACTATGTGACAAAAAAAAGTTAGGAAAAATTGTGAAGCAATCTGGCAGAAATTCAGTTTACAAGGGTCAAAATGTATACATGCTCTAAATATAAAAGGTCGCATCATAAACAAATTGGAGGAGCAGGGAAGGATATATCTCTTGCAAATATGTATAGGAGAAGATTTCTTTTTTATTTTTTGAACCTATTTTTTAAATTAATTAATTTATTTTTAGTTTTCAATATTCACTTCCATAAGCTTTTGAGTTTAAAATTCTTCCCCCCCTTCCCCTCCTCTCTCCCCAAGACAGTGTGCAATCTGATAGAGGCTCTACATATAAATCCGTATTAAACACGTTTTCGCATTAGTCATGTTTTAAACAAGAATTAGAACCAATAGGAGGAACTATAAGAAAAAGGCAACAAAACAAAACAGAAGGAAAAAAAAAGAGCAAATAGTATGTTTTGATCTGCACTCAAACTCCATCGTTCTTTCTCTGGATATAGATAGCATTTTCCATCACGAGACTTTTGGAGATGTCTTAGATCCTTGTATTGTTGAGAGGGGTTAAGTCTATCAAAGTCAGTC